ATTTTAAAAAAAAATTTGTATGCAACAAAAATTATAGATATTATTATTAGAAGTAAGTTTTATTTGAAAAATTTTCTTCTCCAAACGTAAATAACAGATATTCCATAAAATATAAAAATGACCACCCATAAAATACCCCCCCAGATGTTCCGACTCTGCTCAAAATCTAATTATTTCATTGGACGCTGAAATAAAGCTTAAGTTTAAAATTTAGTATTTTTCTGTGTATCGATTCATGAGTTATGGTGGATACAGACATACAGACACACATGGCAATTTTACCCTAAGCTCCCCCTAATTTACTCACCTAAGAAGATGATCAAAAACTGGAGTTTAGTCCAATAAATGAAGCGTAAAAAGGTAAGTATTTGTAACAAATTTTACCTAATTAACTTGAAACGTTTAGAAAATATTTACAAAAGTGTGATATCAGGACTTTAACACCCTGTATCTCGAAAAGAAGAGTTTTCGGACCTATTTTTATATGAATTTTTACTACCTACTATTTTAGGATGTAGATTACGCTGTTAAAATATGACCGTCTAATTTCGGGACACCCTGTGTATCATCTATAACTATCAATAAATAAAAAATATTTGAGTTGTTTGGTTTAAAACTAGTATTCCTACATTCATATAATATTAACAAGCCACTAAACTCCCAGTAAGCGGCCTACCCAATGTGATTATTCATCAGCGCACGACACACAACATTGCCAAATTTATGTAGCGAACAAGGTTCCAAATACTTTAAGGGGAGATCGTGATATTTGTGCGGTGTGACGTCAGAAGGGACTGGATTGCTCTTAAATAAAAAGAACTAGTCATTATCGAACATATATCCGCTGAAGGGGCCGATGAGAACAAGGCAAGTTTTGTAGAACGCAATACTCAAAAGGAACATGCTAGTAAAACAAAAGATAACTATATTGAATCAGCCAGCTGAAAGAAATGGCGAAATCCAAAGAAATTGAAAGGAAATCTAAAAAAAAATAAAGGGCATTTATGACGAAAGGATGGTTGAAAACGATATATGTAGAAGCTTTTTACAGATATAACTGCAAACTTAAATGTTTAGATCACATATCGCAGAACAATTTTGGACAGATCCGTCGATAAAAAGAGGCAATTCATTTCCTTACAAGTACTATTCAACTAAGACGGAAAACAAATTACCTTAAGCCTTGGTTTCTTTGAACACTTCGTCGCGGTGAGCGGGCAATCCGTCAACCGTCGCGTTTTCACGATTTTATTCAACCAGAGTATTTAAATGAGAATGGTTTTCTTGAATCCGCTTAGCTGAGCAGAACGGCGTCATGCCGCTAATTTGTCGCGAAGAGTCGGTTGATATCTGTTGAGTTTGATATCAGCGGAACCGTCGGCGTGTGTGGAGACTATAATAATAAATATAATAATAAATTTATTTAGCATTCAGTATCCATATACAATAATAAAATACATTAAAAAGTTCAAATAATATGTAAACTGGTCGCCCATTTATGACCAATTGGTTGCGCATGGGCTGCCAAATCATTACCTAATGTTAACTTAATATTGTGTGCTTATTTGATTCTAAAATACATTTAAAAAAAATATATAAAACGGATATTAAAATAACTAGAAACATACAATATAATAACTCAGTTATAGACTTATATAATAATAATAATAATCATAATAATAATTATAATAATGATAATAAAAATAATTTTAATAATATTAATAATAATAATAAAAACAATAAATTGAATATATTTTAATAATTAGAATAAGTGAACAAAAAAAAACCAATAAAAGTAATTTATAAACTATAGTGGATTAAAAGGAAGTATATTTTACAGTACAAACACCAAGATCTAATAACACATTTTATCACAGTTAAATTTTTCTTTTTTTTTTGCTAATCGATCAGCGCTCTCATAGCTTTTCTGTCACTATTTATTATGAATTTTTTCAATATTTGTTTAAATAGCTTAGAGGAATTTATTGTATATAAATATGTCTTATATATATCTGGAAGAAAATTAAAGATTTTTCCATTTAAATATAGGTAAAATCTTTGGGAAATTGATTTATTGACAAGGTGAGTATATACTAAATATTTATTTCTGGTGTTGTAAGAATATGTTCTTTTCTGTAAATTGTGTTTATTTTTGTATGTATATAAAGTGACTGCATATACATACAGCTGTCTAACATCCATAATTTTGACTTCATCAAACAAATGATCTGTGGGGTATCTAACCTTTTTATTATGTATTATTTTTAGTATTCTTTTTTGTAATATTTCCAATTTGTTAATATGATTTTTTGTTGCGCCACCCCAACAGATGATAGCATACTGAAGTCTACTTTGAAACAACGAGTAATAAATAATTCTTAGGTATGTAGTACTGATTATAGTTTTAAGATATTTAAATTTAAATAATAACATTCTTAAGGTGTTAGTTAAGCTATTTATGTGTTTATCCCATCGTAAGTGACAATCCAAGGTAACGCCTAAATATTTTATTTCATTTTTTTTTTGTAGTGTGAGTGTTTCGTTGTTATATGTAAAACTGAGGTCATTAAAAGATGGTAAATGATTAATATAGCTAGCAAAAGGCAAAAAAAATGATTTTGTATAATTTATTGTTAGTTTCTTATGCGTACACCAATCCACTATTCCTTTTATATCATTTTCGCATATTTTTTTTAATTCCTCCCATGAGTCGGCTTCATAATAAATGGCTGTGTCGTCGGCAAAACTCACTATTTGTCCTGCAGTCTTTTGTATGTATAAGTTGTTTACATATATTGAAAATAATGTGGGTCCTAGGACGGTACCTTGGGGAACACCAGTTTTTATCATTCTCTCTCCGCTAAATTCGCTGTTAACTTTTACTTTCTGATATCTGTTCTCAAGATAACTTTTGAAGAGATTTAAAGTCGGTCCTCGTATTCCCGTATCCTCCAAGGCCTCTAATAATAGTCCGTGATCTACGGTATCAAAGGCCTTTGCAAAATCCAGAAATACAGTTAGGGATGGCCTATTTGCATCTACCGATTGATAAATCTTTGTCAACAGTTCCAGAATTGCATCAGTTGTAGAGAGCCCTTCTCGAAACCCGAATTGTTTATTAGATATGATTTCGTATTTGTTTAAATAATCCTTTAATCTAGTGTTTAATGCTTTTTCTATAATTTTTGTAAACGTTGTGATTAATGTTATCGGTCTGTAATTTGTTAACATTTTCTTGTTGCCTTTTTTAAATATTGGTATTACCAATGATTTTTTAAGTTCACTAGGAAATTCCCCTTTTGTAATTATTTGATTAGTTAAATGTGTTAACAGTGGTGTAAATATTTCGGTGTTTTCTTTAATAATTTCAGTGGTAATGTTGTCTATTCCTGGTGATTTTTTATTTGGAAGTGATCTAATAATATTTTTTATTTCTAATTGACTCATTGGTAACAGGACCATAGAATTTTTTTGTACATTTCTGACAGGGGAATGTGTATATGGAATTCCCACTTTATCAGCAAGTGTTATACCTACTTCGGCAAAAAAATTATTGAATTCCTCTGCCAGTAATTTTGGCTCTGTTACTGCATGGCCATTTTCTGTGAGTATTTCTTGTATTTCATTATTGTTACTTTTTATATTATTACCTTGCAGTTCTTTAATAACTTTCCACAATCCTTTAGCATTTTCTTTATTTTGTGTTATTTGTTTTGTATAATATTCTCTTTTTGATTTTTTAATAAGCCTATCTGTTACTAGCCTATAATTTAAAAAGATTTCTTTTTTTTCAATATTTTCTATGTCTTTTTTATAAATATTATGTAATCGATTTCGTTCTTTAATTGAATTAATAATACCCTTAGTTGTCCACTGTTTTCTTTTCTTAGTTTGTTTTTTTTCATGAATGAGTTTTGTATTTTGATCCATGTATGTATTTATTGTATCTACTAGATAATTAATTTTTTGATTTGAATTATTTATGTCATAGAATGTTTCCCAGTTATGGCTTTCTATATTTTCTTTTAGGTTTATGTGATTTATTTTCTTAATGTAAGATTTTTTTTGTGCTGTTTCGGCTATTAAAGAGAGATATGCAATTGTAGCTTTATGGTCAGTAATTTGAGTATCATAAATTGCGGCTATGTGATTATCCGATTTATCGGAACTATAAAAAATGTGGTCTATACAACTTTTGGATTTCCCTTGTACTCTTGTGTATTTATTTATTAAAGATTCAAATTTATATTCACCTAAAATATTTAGATATGTAGATACTAAATCTGTCTGTTGTTTAATGTTTATATTAATGTCTCCTATAAAAACATGTCTACTAATTTTTAAATTAATTTTTGATTCTTCCAGGTATGTCAGAAGATTATCAACAAATTCTTCTTCCTTAACTGGAGGTGGTTTGTATAAAGATGTGATTAGAATTTCGTTTTTATTAGTTAATTTAATTATTGTTTGAATTGCCTTACACTGTCCGATTTGTACTATTTTATGGTTACATTTTAAATGTATTTTAATAAAAATTACTACTCCATCATTGCGGTTAATATCTCCCTTATTGTAAATTGAATTGTAACCAGGTAATTGAAATAAACTCATATCTGGAATATTAAGTGTTTCTGTAAGTACTATAACGTCAAAAGAATGATTTAATTGTGATAAAAAAATGTTCAATTCATCGAAATTTTTATTTAAACTACAAATATTCTGATGGAATATTTTGAATGTATTGGTTGTAATTGTTTTGTGGTATTCATTAATTTCTTGGAGATTCATAAATTCTATAGTATTGCACGGTTCGTAAATTATATCTCTAATGTATGGATCCATTTGTGATATAACAGTATTACAATTTTTAATGAAATATACCTACCACAAAAATAAGAAGATTAAAAAGATTAAAAATAATTAAAAGATTAAAAAGATTTAAAAGATTAACAAAATTAAAAAGATTAAAATTATTAAAGATAATGAGGAAGATGGTATGGCTATTTATTATTTTTACTTCCCAATCTTGGTCGTAAATTCGGTTGAGGATCCCTATTGTGTTTTTCTGGTTTATTCTTTGGCGTTTGATTGGTTACTACTTCTTTTTGTGTTCTCTTCTCCTCATTAATGTCTGTTTTCTTGTCTCCAGAACCACTTGGTCGTTGAAGATTCTGAATTTCCTTAGTATTTACTGTCTTGGTACTTACTTCCTTGGTATTTACTTCTCTAGTAATAGTGGGCGTTTGAGGTGCACTATTTTGATGTTTGTTACCTTCTGGCTCTGTACTAGCGTCTTTAATTGTTAATGATTGTGCTGTGTAAGCTATATTATTAACATATAGCTTGTCACCCTTGATGTATGATGTATCAGACGTATTTGCGCGTGCTAATTTTAGATGTGTTGTAAGTACCTTATTCTCTTCTCTTTGTAATTCCGTTAGATCGCTAGTAATACGTATATTTGTGCCTTTTAGGTTTTTACAGTTTTTAAGGATTTCCAGTTTTTTTAGGTATGATATGAATTCGATTTTAATTGGACTTGAGTTAAATTTCCCTAGTTTGTATGAGTTATTAATATGACCGATGTTCAAGTCAACTTTTAGGAGGATCTTTAGTTTATTAATAATACTAACAAGATCGAAACCGTCACACTCTATTCCATAAATAATAATATTGTTTTTCTTCGTTGTTCTTTCTATATATTCTATTTTCCTTATAATATTCTTATTGGCTTCCTCCGCTTCTGTTATTCTTTTAGATAAACCTTCTAGATTCCACAATATTCTGGTTTCGCTTGCCGTTATACAATTTTTTATCTCACTTTTGATGTCATTACTATCTTGTTTCATATCATTTCTTAATTTATTTATTGCGTTGTAAACATCATCTTCATTACGGTCTAAAGTAGACATTCTAATGTTAAACGTATATTTTTATTTTATTTAATTTTATACCGTGGTGGAATGAATCCAGTTTTATATTGTAAATAAAGTTTTTCTACTTACAAGAAAAGAACAATTCAGGTTTTTATTCTTCTAGATACTCAAAGTTATGTTGCACAGTGTCACTAACACTTATATCGATGCACTACACTGTATTTTGTTATGTGTACTGTTCAAAACTATTTATTTCTTATGTAGATTTGGTAATTTTTGTTATTAATTTAGCGTAAAGTATAAGTGACTATATTGTTATTAATTTTAAAACAATGAGTGACAAATTCACACATACAGATGACATCATGACTTTATTTTTAGGTTTCTTGGAAATTATGTCCTTTATAAAACTCAACACGAATTCAAAAAGATCTGTAGAAAGTCTAAAATACTCCCTAAATTTAGTTTTATTTTCAAAAAACCTCCGCTGCACAGTGATATTAAAGGCACCTTCTGTATCGCGACACAAAAACAACTCATCCACTGGATTATTGGAAACTTTGATGGTTGCAATCAGGGCCGACTAGAGGGGGGGGGTAGCCGGGACTAATTCCCAGGGCCCGGACTCAAATCGGGGCCCAGGCAGCGCTATAAGGGGGGCCCGGAAACTGGAATTTTTTGTTCTGTACGAGAAATTTGACACAAGACGAGAGGGTTTTTGGTTGGGGAGTTTTTTTTTTTAGAAAAAGCAATTCAAGTAAAGTAGGAAAAGTTTTTGCTAAAGGAGCTTTTTTGTCACGAAGTCCGATTTAGAGAATTGTCCTGAAGCCCGGCCTGGCTCTCGGCGGCCCTGGTTGCAATTGCCAGTTCCTCTTGTTCTTCCTCTTCCAACAATAATAACAACGCAAACAATTTATTTGCATCCATTTTAGTACCTTTCGTTTACATTCATAATACATAAACAGCACGTACAGACCTAGAGAAAGTATCATTTTCTATATTTTTTAACAAACCACCTCGAGCGAAAATTGCTGTCCTCAGCGGTCGACGGACTGTCCGCTCACCGCGATGGAGTGTTCAAAGAAACCAAGGCTTTAGAGAAGGTAAAAGGCAACATAAAAATAGATACTTCTTTAAAATAAATAATATTAAAATTAAAGTAGCCAAGACATTTTTCCTAAATACCTTCTAGTGTAGGTGCCCACTGCAAAACGTTGGGTCAATCACTAGTATGCCTAAATTTTTATAAAAACGTCGGGTAATATATTGTGCAATAGTAATCCGCCATCAGCCGCACCAATATCGTTTGCGATTTACGTTATAAAAAATTATTAACAATTGAAAATATGATGCATTATCTAAGACAATCATGCACACTGTTTGGGTGTAGAGCTAGCAACAGTTTTTCTTAGAACGAAGACTCAAAAAGATTTCCTTTAATATCTTGGTGATAATCTAAAGAGCTATGTTTAATGTGTTTTTTGCTTAATAATAATGCATCATTCACCCAGCCATCTTCTTCACGGCAGTGTAGTATGCAAATTCGTTTACCTCGAGAATGGACAACTACCGTTTCTAACTATCATTTGTTCAGACTTTACGAACAGTATCGTGGCTATTAAACCATATTTCATCCAAGTAATAGATGTGCCTTCCTTCACTGCGATACTCTCAAATTTTTGATATATATTTGTTTCTTCACTTTGCTAAATGACCGGATTCCATTATTGTTTATCTTTTATTTACTATTTTATGTCTATAACCATGTTTTTTTAAAAATCTTCCATACCTCAAGGATATGTTTCTTTTTTAATTCTGCTAGAATACCTCCAATAAAAAATCTGATGTGAATTATATCACAAACTTTTATTTGAACAATTTTCATAAAAATTTGATTCTTTTACATTTTGTCAAATTTCTCGAATACAAACCATTTTAGGAAAAATTTTTATGTAACAAAAATTATAGAGAATATTACATGAAGTAACTTTTATTTTAAGAATTCTTTTCTCCAAACGTAAATAACATATATTTTGTAATCTACCCAGACAGCACACAAAATCCTTTGGATATCTACTACACATCCCAATATCCACTGAATGTCCAGTCCATGGTAGATATCAATTTTATATCCATGATATGTAATTTATAGACATGCAAATGTTCATAAATAATAGTAATTATATAGCAAATTATTAAAAAAATACGCCATTGTGCTCGCCATTGTGGCTAATAGTACCGTTCAGATATTTGACACGTTGGCTGCCGATATGAAATTTGTTGCTTTTCTAAGAAGCCGCTTGATAGCGGGCGTTCATTTCAAAATATTACTGAAAAGCCGCATGGGACGCCCGCTGTCATTTGCAAACCTTACTAAAATTGTCGATAGAACGCCGGCTGTGCATTTGATCATGCTAATCTTATGGCAGTTCTTAGGTCGACAACTCAGCAATATATATTTAAAGTGGTTTGGGAATGCAGGGAAAACTTAGGTCAGAAGGCTCTTAAAATTGAATAACAAACAAAAATACAAGTTTAAAGGCCTCTTTATTAATAAAACAAAAATTCAAACACCTAAAAATAACAGGATAATTAGAAAAGAATACAGTTTAGTTTAAGAACCTAATATGGTCTGGAAAACAGTTTATAAAAACAAACGGTTTTTTGGACAGGTTGAACAAAAAGTATTTACTTTTTTTGCCAATTTCGTCGCAACTTTAAAACCTTGTTGAACGGATATTTTTTATAACGTGTCCATAATTTGCTTTTTTTGACTGGGATCCATCTTCTTCAATATCTAGACCCAAAAGAGAATTGACTCCTCACGATAACTAGTTACAGATATTGTCTTTCCTGGGTTACCCATACGGTATATTATTAGTCCATTCACAACTGTGGTTCGCATGAATAACTCCGTGGCCACTTTGAGGTACCAACGTAAAGATTTCCATATACATGTAGAATATGATGAAAGCTGGTCCGACAAGTATATTCCTGCTTTGCTTCTATTATAAACTACAATACATTGTGGTTTGCTAATTTCTTCACGTTTTCGATTATTTTTTCCAGTATTGACAATATTTGGGTTATGGTAGGTCGAAAAAATGTAAACTTCGCGCTCATCTTTTCATTTTACTACGACAATACCGTTTTCATTTTCCCTTCCACAAATTTCACCTCTCTTAAGTTTTTCTAACGTAGGTAATCTCTTTAGGTACCCCCTTTCTATTCTTTCGCAAAGTACTGACTGTGTGCGTCTTACGTTTAATTAATTCTTGTGCTAAAGGGATGCTTGTGTAGAAGTTATCTGTTGTGACAACTCTTCCATGATCCAGATGGTCTTCACAAAGATTTAAAACAATATCCGTTTCAAGACTGTTTTGTGGATTGCGTTTTTTCCTTGATACACTGAAAATTAGTGGGTATAGCCTTGTCTGTCATACATTTTAAATAATTTAACGCCATATCTGTGGCGTTTTCCAGGAATATATTGTCCAAAGCCTAAACGCCCTCCAAAATGTATCATGGTTTTATCAACTGCAATATATTTATCTGGTTTTAATATTTCTCTATATTTAGTATTGAAGAACGAAACAAGGAAGTTAATTTTGTGTAAATGATTGTTGGCAGCATCTGGACTTTCAGTATCTGAAAAATGTTAAAATCTTAAAAGGTATTGAAACCTGTTTCTAGACATTATCTGGCATGCAATAGAGCTTTTATATATCTTCTTTTTGTTCCAATAACAAGGAATTTTAGGATATCGTACTAATCCCATATACAGTATAAGACCGAGAATTTTTTTAATTTCATCAAGATTCGTTGGTTTCCACAAAGAAAGTCTACTTTTTTTTGGGCATACCTTTTCCGCGAATTACCTGCTCAGCATTTTTATTAGTTTCATCTACCATAACTTGCAATATCTCATCAGTAACAAAAAGTTTGTAGCTATCGGCAATGGAAATATTTGCAATGTCAATGCCAGGATTACCACCAAACTGATCATCGAATTGAAAAACTTTTTGCTTTAACCCGGTAACCTGATTCCACGTGTAGTTCTTTGATTGTCAATGTTTGTTTGTCATTATCTTGTTGCTCACAAATAGAAGAACTGGTATCGGATTGTTGGTCTAGTGAATCAGATTCACTCTCGTTACAAAAATAGTTTTTGTCTGCGATGCTATCATCGTCGTTGAAATAATCGTTTGAAACTTCGTCCGAAATTTCGTCAAGAGACTCGTGTATAGCTTTTTCTAACTCAGCTTCCTTTAATGATCTCTTTCGATCTCTTATACGAGACGTAGAAGGTTCATTATTAGGAAGTCCATTTACAATAATGTGTTAGGTAAGTAAAAGTAACCTAAAAATAATCTAAAACTTACCCTAAATACAAAATTTCTATTTGAAAATACTGAGATATTAGAGGAAAATTGAAAATGCACCTCAAAACAAAGGAACGTTGCAATTTGCACAAATTATTTTAAGGTTATGTTTGGATTTTGACACGACTGCCGGCGGTCAATTAGCAAATAAGTTATACGTGGATAATTAAAATGCCACCTGGTAGCGGGCTGTCATTTCGAAGTTATCAAAGCTAAGACCTCCAAATGCATCAAAGTTTAATAACTATGCACCTTATAACAATTTTTAATCAAAATAAATAGTTTTTTATGTGACGTTCTCGGTAATGTTTAATAAAATTTTGGCGGCTATCATTAAATCAATGAATTTGACCGCCGGCGGCCCATGCGGCCGCCAAACTGTTAAAATTAATTTTTTTAAGGTGTATTCAATATTCTATGGACATCCACTAAATATATCAAAGTCTAGGCGCGAACGCAAACCATCGTGTATATCCACTAGATGCTATTTGATTTTGCTTACTAAGTATAGATGGCGATACCACTTTCGCATCTACTCATGCTCAACCCGCCGTAATTGAGTTCGATCGAAATTTGTATCCTAATCAGACT